ACGTTCTTCAGCTCCTTTCAGAGAAAGGAAAACAAAACCTCTCTTCATCAGGACATACATTTTTAAGGAAAACACAGCCCTGATGAAATACCCAAGAAAAATAAACCACAGTAACCACCACTTGAATTGAGCACAACCAAAGCAAATAATTGAAAAGCTCTCTTTCCCGTGAAGTTACACTAAAAACCGCCAAAGCTTTGCTGCTTGTGAGACAAAAGCCAGTAAAGGAGGACATGAAATGAACCTCAAAAATGTACATAACTTGACACGGTTAATACCAAATCAAATAAAAAGAAGAAAAGGAGAAAAAACAAAAGCCACACCAAGGCTCCCAAACCAGTCCTTTGTAGAAAGCAGCATTTTTTCTAATAATATTTCTGAAGTGTCAAGATTGAGGTCCACGTAAAGTTAGGTCAGATCTCTTTGCTCACAGATCATACGAAAATGTGACACTCTCAGTGCCAGGGTCACATTCTCTGCTCAGACAATACTTTCAACATGAGCCCGATGAGAAAAAAACACTCTTGACTCCTTTAGTCCTTCATCCCTTTTCATATCAACTGCATCAGTCAATATGATAAAAACATATAAGGGAAGCAACTGCTTAATTTTGCTGCTCAGTGAACCACTCAGGTTTTCCTAATACTTCACCTTCATCTACCAATTACAAGGTAATTACTTCCAATTTCCTACTGTTGGGGTATTTTCTGTGTTCTTCTCCACATCACCCAGAAATCTCATCTCCCAGAGTAGCACAGTCACCAGCAAATCTCACAAATGCACAGACTCTGCTGTATGCTGTTGTAGTTATCAAAGAGCTATGCATTCAGACACAGAACGCCATCAACCCCAAAGAAGCCTGCAAGAAGGAAAGCTGATTGCTAGAGCAATCAAGGAGAAGTATTTTCAGGTATGATTCTTATAAAAAGCGAGATTTGCTAAAAGGCCAGAGGAGGTACACTCCAGAGCATGGGCCACATAAGCTGTCAAACCATGACAGCACTTTCATTGACATAAGGAACAACAAATATTATGAAATGGTTAATTATGAAGAAAAGAAAAAAATGAAAACCAGCAAAATATTTCAAGCATTTCCCTAGTATACCACGCTTTTTCCACAGTGGAGAGTGTCATCATGTCAATCTGAGCCTTGCTGGCTTGGAAGAGGAGGCCCTGGTCTGGCTGCTGTGGCTCTCTCTACAACATGGAGATATTTGTGCACCAATGGACTGACACTGATGAGTGCCAGCACAGTGGGCTGGCCCACCACCTCTTAGGCCTGCTAGAGTCCTACACTGCTATGTGCAGGGTCGCCAACCACCAGAGCAGGCTGCCCAGAGCCACATCCAGCCTGGCCTTGAATGCCTCCAGGGATGGGGCATCCACAGCCTCCTTGGGCAACCTGTTCCAGTGTGTCACCACCCTCTGGGTGAAAAACTTCCTCCTAATATCTAACCTAAACTTCTCCTGTCTCAGTTTAAAACCATTCCCCCTTGTCCTATCACTATCCACCCTTGAGAACAGCTGTTCCCCCTCCTGTTTATAAGCTCCTTTCAAGCACTGGAAGGCCACAATGAGGTCTCCCTGGAGCCTTCTCTTCTCCAAGCTAACCAATCCCATACCCTCAACCTTTCTTCATGGGAGAGGTGCTCCAGCCCTCTGATCATCTCAGTGCCCTCCTCTGACCCACTCCAAGAGCTCTACATCCTTCCTGTATTGGGGGCTCCAGGCCTGGACGCAGTGCTGCAGATGGGGCCTCACAAAAGCTGAGGGGAACAATCACCTCCCTCTCCCTGCTGACCTCCCCTCTTTTAATGCAGCCCAGAACACAGTTGGCCTTCTGGGCTGCAAGCACACACTGTTGGCTCATGTCCAGCTTCTCATCCACCAGGACCCCCTTCTCCGCAGTGCTGCTCTCAAGGAGATCTTCCCCCAGGTTGTTGATGAAGATGTTGAAGAGCACTGATCCCAAGGCCGACTCCTGAGAGACACTGCTTGTGATCAGCCTCCACCCTGACACAGAACCATGGATCACAATGCTTTGGCTGTGTCCAGCCACCCAATTCCTAATCCACTGAACGGTCCATCCTTCAAATCCATACCTCTCCAATTTAGAGAGAAGGACGTGGTGAATCAGTAACAGTGTTTAAGTTTCATTAAAAAGTAAGTATCCTGCAGTACTGAAGATCACAGGATTATAGAATCAAAGACTGGTTTGTGTTGGAGGATTCTTAAAGCCTACTCAGTTCCAACCTGTGCCATGGGCAGGGCTGCCCCCCACCAGCTCAGCTGCCCAGGGCCCCATCCAACCTGGCTTTGAGCGCCATCAGGGAAGGGGCACCACAGCTTCTCTGGGCAGCTGTGCCAGGGCCTCACTGCCCTCTGAGTAAAGGATTTATTCCTACAGCCATTCTAAATCCCCCATTTTAGTTCTTTCCTGCACTCAGAACACAAATTATGTCTTTGTTGCTTTTTCACAGGAAGACTTTGCACTTCCATGTGTGCTTCTGGCCAGCAATCTGGAGTCAGGGCCACTGACTCAGAACACTTCTGGGTGTGCAGCACAGAATTGCTTTCACCTCACACCATCCATCACTGTCTGAAAGCTAAGAATCTAATCCAAGTCATCCAAGTCAGGTGGTCAGCTGCGATGGTCAAACAGACTCAGAGGCCAGTTCACTTCACCTCAAAGCAGGTGTCTTACCACAGCTAAATTTAATTGCACTTTGTGTTATCAGCTGAACCTAACACAACTTTTAGCAAGAACTGCATTGTGGTATAACATTTGATCCTCTACAGATTCATGATTTTGATAGCGATCTTGAACTGACAAATCAGTTTAAACATAAGCTGTGAACAATGTTATAATCTTTGTCTTATTAAGGAGGTCAGGTTCAGACGTTGGAAATGAAAACACGATATTGCTCTACATTTGTAATGGGTGAAAGTAATGTTCCAAATGATTATAAAGTGGTGCAGGCTTTTAGACTAAGAGGAGGAAACAGGCTTGTAAAGTAAATAATGCTGGCTGTGACCCTGATTTATGTTGCCCATCTCTAAAATTCTTATCCTGATTAAATGGCACAGTTATTGGCTTCAGGCCATTGAAGATTTTGGTTCAAAGTGATACAAAACCAAAGACACAAGGAGAGAGAGAAGGAGAAACAGTTATCTGGTAGAACATCACCACATCACTTGCTGCTGAGTTTGTTCATTTTCTACTTGGGATGTACATCTCCATGAAAAGCATGCTAAAGAGGAAGCTGTCTTCAAGAGCATTTAGGGCCATATTCTTACAGCACAGTTCCTCATTCTTCTGACACTTCCCTTAAAGAAAATGAGACAGTTCACAGAAGAATGTGGTTCAAATTGCAAAAGAGGATGAGGAATATAAAGCTCTTTTCTTACTATTTTGTATGTATTCATTGGAGGTGAACAGATGATGAAAGAAAACCTCTTCAGCTTGTGAGAGGTGTCAAGAAGTAATACAGAAGCAGCGTAATGTTTTTCTGGCTGAAGTCAGAGAATGAATATGTAAAGATATATTTTTTCTGACACCACAACAGCAGGGAACAGCACTGTACAACTAAATTACGGACTTACAATTACTTGGAGAAATTGCGGTGTTTTTAAACACTAACTGGTCCTAAGGCACATGCACTGATAAGAAGCAAGTGGATATAATGAAGTTAAACAAATCTAAGCAACAACCACAGAAAGGAGACCGATGACCTCCTTCCGTTAGTGAGATCATTTTCCTTGGCAGATAATTCCCACCCCCCTCCTTTTTTTTTTTTTTTTTTTTTTTTTTTTTTTTTTTTTACCGGTTTGTCTTAAAAAGTCTGCACAGAATCTGGGTAATTAATTTGAATCCACTTGAAAATAAACTTGTTAAAAAGAAAAATGCTCACTGCTCACATTTTTTTTCATTTTTTAAACGATTGACAGGAGATCTGAGCAACACTACCTCTAGTTCCTGATAGAGGGAACACAGATATGCGGGAGGCGAACGTCTGGGTTATGGATATTTTATTTCTGTTCCTGCAAGCTGCAGATAGGCGCAGATCGCTCCGTGCCGGCTGTCCCTGTGCGCGCAGAGCGGAGCCCCGCGGCATCCCGCAGGGGTCGCTGCTCCTCCGGAAATGCGCGCAGCCCGGAGCTCAGCAGCCGCGCCCGCTGCAACCAAACCCTCTTCTTGGCCTCGGCGCCCAGCCGTGGGCAGTGGCAGCCTTCGCTGCTTATCCCGGGCGGGCCTCCTCGTGCATCAGCTAATTGGGCAGGTTATCGACAGTCCTGACTATGTAAGATTCCTTTTTTATGTTGAAAGCGTACCAGCGTTTGTTTGTCCTGCAGAAGCCGCGCAAGGAGAAGGCTGGGGGGGAAGGGGAGGGAAAGGGAGAACTGCATTTGTCAGTCTTTCCGAGACTCTCTGCTGCAAACGGTAATTGCGCTGCTACACGAAACATTTTCCTCCCATCGCTCCAAGCTGCAACTTCAGTCACCAAGCGGGAGTTACCCGAAACACTTGAAAAACAAGCACACATCCACCTCTACTGTTATGCGTAAATACAGGAGTGAAAAAGCCGTAGTGCCGAGTGCTAGCGAGAGGCACGGGTCTGCCTGTTGCTTTTGGGACCCACGAGCAAACTTCGAGGGAGTTGGGAAAGCTACATCCCTCCAGCACTCGCTTGGAGAGCATCCATCCTCTCCAAGCTCTCCCCCTCTGAGTTCCCTGAGTTTTACTCCGCTTAAGAGTGGCCAGACGGGGGCTATCGGGGAGCAGCGTGGCGACCCACCCGTCTCCGTCCTTCTTCTCGGCGCTGGCCGGCACGCTGCCCCCCGCGCGGGCGGAGGGCCGTGGGCGGACCGGGTCGAGCCGTCGGCAGGGCGGGATGGAGGGAGGGAAAGAGAGAAGAGAGACGGAGGGAGGGGCTGTGCCCCGCCGCACATACCGCCCCTCGCCCGGCGCAGCGGCAGTGGGGACTCGGCGGCGGAGCGGCGGTACGCAGCGGCCGCTCGGACGGGGAGGGCGCCCGCGGACAGGTAGGCAGCGGCGGCCCGGCCATCCCGCAGGTGCGGTACGGAGCGGTGCGGGCGTTACGCTGGCCGAGGCGCGTCCCGCTGTGCCTCCGGTGCGCGGTGTCACGGCTGTGCGCGGGGAGCAGGCAGCACCTCGTGCGCTGCCGTTGTGGGGTGAGCCGGGTCGTGGCGGGGCTCGGGGACGGGTCCTGTCTCTCCCGTGCAGACTCTTCAGGGTGCGGTGAGAATCAGTGAGAACAACACACTTCTCAGAATTTGGGCACACACTTTATGTGAATGAAAGGGTGGTGTTTTGTTTTTAAAGGTTATTGTAGTTTTCGTGGAAAGTTTTTGACAATCCTGTACAGGGACTGGCATCTACTGAGAGACAGAGGTGTTTGTCTACATATGTAAATAAGCGTGACCTGCACATGGAAATGTGCACATCTGCTTAACAGCTTGACTTCGTTCCAGCGTATGCCTTTCAGCACGAGCTGCCCAGAAAAACTCTGTTGTGTGATGTTCTGTACATATTTTCTTTTGGCTGCATCCGTAGCAGTGTAAATATTTCCATTTTTTGTTTGTTTGCTTCAGCTAAGAAACGGAGTCAAACTAGAAATATAGGCACAAATCAATTAGGGAAAAAAATACCCACCCCAAAACAGCTGCTCTTCCTAGAATGAGCCGGGAGTGCAGCCTTATTTGTAATCTTACAAATTGCTTAAATGCTGCAGCCGATCGCTGAGTATTTTCCTGTAGTCAAAGCAGGATACTGTAATCCCAGTATCATTTAGAGCTCTGAAGTTTTTACTGGGTAGCAGCTTCTGATTGTACAGAATTTAAAGCCTCTGTTTTGGATATGCTATTAGTGCTGATGGGATTAGTACTTTCTCAGGTTTGTAACTGAGCTTTGGCAGCAGCAGTTTAGAAAGCAGATTAACATAATGACTCTACTTAGGAAAAGTGTTTTTATCCAGAAACTTAGAAGGAAAAAGAAATGTCTGAAGACTGACATTTCCCAGTAGATAAGTTGCAGGCCAATGCTGCAGAGCTTTGGATGCTCAGACTGAGCAGCATGTCCGATGGGAGACTGAAACTGAAATCTGGCTTCAAGCTCCAGTTTTCTTGTCAACACCCCTAAATGGCACTTGTGCCCAATAGCACAGTAACGGAGGAAGCATACATTACTATCTCTGTGTGTCCTTCTTGATATGCAGTGGGGTGAAACTGGCCAAACCAGAGTCAGAACTTAGGAGAATGGCAGACTGGATGGGTGAAAATCATCTGTATCTGTTGCCACTCTTCAGCCCTGCAGATGAAATACGGTAAACAAGAACTGATATGTCAGAAATGCCTGGGCACAATTGGGCAGGTGTGCTGGGGAGTTTTTCATAACCTGGACAAACAATGCAACTTAGGCCTTTATTCCAGTTTGTTTATTCATATAACTCATGTGCCTGCACAGCTTCAGAACACAGAACCTCATCTTCAACAATCTATTTAATTTTTCTTGCAAATGCAATTGCAGTCACCATATGTCCTTGTCACACGAAGAAATCTAAATACGGATCTTTCCCACTGGAGGTAGATCAGTTGCATCATGTTAATATTGATTATTAATAATGCTGTGGAGGCTCCTCAACTTTGCATTTGACTTCTTTGGATGATGTATTTGTTAGAGTGTAGTGTTATGGGTTTAAAGAGATCCCTGGTAGGAGATGAGCAGTTCACAGGGCTGGGAATGAGTTTCCCATGTCTTACTCACTAGTTCAAATCTCTATCTTGCATTTAAAAATAAAATAAAATAAAAAAATCCATCTGCTTGCTGCTCATGACCTGTGTGCAGTGAGTTGCAGTGAGTTGGTTACGTCTGTTTAATATCCTTGGAAGTCACCTACTAGAGTTGCACTTATTCTCCAGAGGCAAAGCTGTGTTCATCAGTTTTGACTCTCCAAAAGCAGCACCAGTATACTGAAGCCATGCTGCCTTTGCACTTGTGATGTGATGTTTTATCCCTCTGTGTCCCCTAAGCTTTGCCCTTAGCTGCTAAAGCTTCAGCATGTGTGGCTAACATGAGTGCCTGAAAGGCAACTTGGAGCTTGGGTTGTGTCCTCTGGTGCCCAGGGATCTCAGTTTTGAGTGAGCAGCCTCCTGCCTTGCAGACTAGCAGAGAAGTTTGGCTGATGAGCAGTCCACCAGCAGCCTTCATAACCATTTTTTCCACAAAAGGGTGAATTGTACTGTTTGGGAGCATGCACCTAGGAAAGTAAAGGCACTTCAGCAAGAGCAGTTAACTCAGCTATGCAAAGAGCACAGGAACCACACTGTACTTATTAATGTACTTAAGTTTGATTAACATCTAATGGAGTTTGGAGTATGTTTACTGCAGCTGGTGAAGGTCCCTTGAATTTCTATTCAGATTACTTGGCAGCAGTTGCACCATGTCTCCACCTACCTAGTTGTTGTCTAAGCACTTCTACTTCTCATTAGGGAAAGTAAGTGTCATTTGAGGAAGGAAAAAAATGGACAGATTATCTTCCTGTGTGCTACAATTTTAGCCAAGGTTAGGGTAGGTTGATTCTTATGTGGAAAATGCTGTGCCATGGATGTAATCCAATGTATTATTGTTATTATTATTAAAACCAGGATCTAGTACAGAACATTAAAAATCCAGTGTAAGTCTCTCTTTAGGTGTGGGGTGGCGAGGAGTAGTGATATTACAGTCAAGGTTCTCACACCCTTGTTCCCATTAAACAGAGCCTTGCTTGATGAATGATACCTATGCAACTGCATTCTAGTAAATAGAGGCTGTGTTACTGCATTATTTTTTCATCTATTACAACAATCTCTATCTTGCTATTCCAAATGTTTTCTTATGAAAAGGGAATGCATGATCTAAAGCCATCTGTCAGAAAAGTGGGAGGGATGTTCTGGGCAGAGATTGCCTTTACTAGAATAGCATTATTGATTGTGTCAGCATTCTTGTTAATTAACCCATTCAAACTGTCTGATCTTTAATTGATGTTTTGCTTCTGTAAGGATTTGTGGCTCATTCCTTTGGATGTACACATTAAGTTTATATTAAAATATGGACAGCTAGCTCTTAATGTCTTATCTGTGTTTTGTATCTGGTTGTCAGAGAAATTAACCCATAGTCAGCAACGAAGTACCAATTCTGAGCCCTTTTAAGACAAGACAGTGGAAGAATATAGATTGGGAACTAAAAAGTGTAATTTTAAATTTGACATTGACTTGTATGACCTCAGAGAATGGGTTGAATTTTTTCTTTTTCTGCTGCTGCGAAAGATCACTGCTTCTATGGCTAGCAGATTATTTTTGAAGATACAGAAATGCAAGCTTGAATATGAAGACCTAATATAAAATTATGTTTAAAGCAGAAAATGCCAGCACTGCTAACAGCTATGGGTTACATGGCTCTAGTAACTGTAGGAACTGTACAACAACACAAAAACAGTAGCAAAAGTGATCTTGCCTTTTACAGTCTAAAATCTAAGACAAAAGTCAATAGCAATGAAGGAAGGACAATGAAATCATGAAAACAGCTATCAGATTATTATTCACAAAAATAAACAAAATGTGGAAAGGGATTAAAGCTAGTTTTCTCAAGTAGCAGTTCCTTCTAAGTGGAGGTGACAGCTCAAAACTATCAATCTGAAAAAGACAGTGCATTAGCAATGAAGGCTGGTTCCATGGTCATGCCAAAGAAAGGGTCAACATTTTATGTAGTGCCAGAAATGATGGTTATGGGAAGAAGCCATGAGAGGCATGAGTTTTCAGAACAAGAAGCGATTGAGAAAGCATTTCAGTGAGCTGTACAATATTTTCCTATGTGGAAATGGGAAAACATTCATTGTAAAAGGTTTCTGAAGTTGTATGAAAAAGTATTAGTCAGATTTCTGATACACAAAGAAGAGGCTAACGTGGTCAGGTGGATGTCAGAATATATGAGATTTTTTGTGTAGATAGAAAGCTGTAATTTGGACATTTGCAGGAATCATCCAGAAAATTTATGCTCAGAAAATAAGTTCTGAGCATCAGAGTATTTCGTGATTTACTTATGTCGAAGATGATTCACCAGTTATTGGGGGCAGTAAGTAAAATAGCTGGAGACTGTATAATGGCTCAGGAGTTGTGACATTACAGAGATGCAGAAGATGTTGTCAGCCTGATCTGGAGAAGAAGACAAGCAGAGCTTTATGGTGCAGGTGAAGGTGTTGAGGCCTGTGACTGCAGGATCCAAACCTGACATACTGGTGTCTATCAAAGGCATTGCTGTTCTGGGAGGTTATGCTTGAAACAGCAAAGGAGAATGCTGAGAGGGAGGCCTACTCAAGGCATCTGAAGGAAGAAACATGAACAAGAGACGGATAAGATGGGTTTAGGGTGACTGACACATTTATAAGCAATAGCGGGGGAATATGGGAATATGAAACCCAGAGTTATCAGCGGTTATGTTGCTTTAAAGGACTGCAAAGGAAAGAAAAATGAACTGGACAGGAAACAGTAAGCAAGCTGGTAGTTTGTTGTTCCATGCATGCTCCCACATCTTTTGGAAAGAAGCCATTGCTTTTTAAAGTTTTGCATACACTGAAAGCATTATGCTATGAGTTATTGCTGTGCTCTGCTTATCGCCTTCAGGGGTAGATTCCATAAGCCCTCTTCAAAGTGAGTAGTACTATATTCTGTAACAGTATGAAACAATATGTGCAGCACAGAATTCTTCAAAGAAAGGAGGATGCAGTTCATAATATTTCGGTGTTAGCCCTGTGAGAAGATTTTGCATTAATGAAAACAAAAACATCTGTGTACAGTCTCAATGAATTCGGCATGTTCACGGCATCTTTTGAAGTTCCTTTTATACTGTAATCTTCCTTATCTATTTTTCAGGGAATCTAGAGGTTTTATATAACATGGAGAAACACCATCACCTAAGTTACTTGGAGTTATTTTATAGCATTATTTTGATATAATTTTTTCTTACGGGCATTTTTCAAAGGTACAGG